TATAATGAAGTAATCACCGAACAAGGAAGTACCGAATATAATGGCCTTTGCACCGAATATAAGGAAGAGAGCACCGAATATAATAGTGTTAGCACCCATAATAATGAAGAAAACACCAAACAATGTTAGAACCGAATATAACAAAGAAAGCACCGAATATAATAAAGACAGCACCGAATATAACGAAGAGAGCACCTAATATAACGAGGGAAGCACCGAATATAATGGAATAAGCACCGAATATAATGAAGACAGCACCGCATATAAAGACATAAGCACCGAGTATAATTGAATAAGCACCGAGTATAATGAGTTAATCACCGAATATAATAACATAAGTACTAAATATAATGACATAACCACCCAATATAATAAAAAAAAGTATCATAAGACAGTTCTGGCATTCCATAACTATGACTTAGTCCCTCTTTCGCTTAGTACATCTTGTATGACACAAAAGAAAACCGGTATCGCAGAGGTCATGGGTTCCAATCCATTAAGGCCTGAATTTTTTTCAGGCTTTAATTTCACAACTGCTTAAGTTGTGTGTATAACTGTGATGATCAATCATATCAGATCTTCATAAAAAAGAAAATCGTGAGAAAAAAATGGCCATACTTACCAGTATTAGTTTTTGGTTTAAGAAGTTCATCCACGTCTTGTTCGGCATCAAACCTGCTTAGTTTACCTCCTTTTACTTCAAATGTGGATCCCAAAGGACATCCAATAGCACTATCCAGTGTGAAGTGCAACCTTTCAAATGTCTCTTTCCTAGTCATGGTAAATACAATCATCACTAATCAGAATCAGATAAAAATAGCAGCCTTTCCTACAGAAATTCTAAAAGTAGCTTTACGTTCATGTGTGGAAGCGCGGTGGTTAGTGCGCTCGACTCCGGATCAAGACAGTTTACTCTCACTGTAAATAGTCTGCTCCATAACACAAATGAACCACGTGTAGAATCAAAGTAATACGCTTTTAAAATATAATGAACATTCCCTGAAGAGCTTGATAAGTACGGTTGTGCACGTGCCAGACAAATTTACATTACATATCTCGACACCTACCTGCCTTTTCGAACTTTCACGGCTCTGATGACATTTTCCTTCTTTAATATGACATAATCACCCTCACTGATCATCTTTGGCTTGGGAAAGGGTCGGCAAATATTTCCAAAACCTTTGATGGTTACAAACACAAATCAGTCAAGCAGGAAGCCATCTTGGAATAAAGTACAGGCTTCATTTACGGTGTAATGTAGCATCCTTCAAAAAAATGCTGCTGACTATCTTGCTTTGCAGGCGCTTTCAGTTTGCGTTCCGTAGGGGAAAAGATGGCGCCAGGCTATACTTCGTGCACAAAACCTTTCTTTTGCAATAAACTTCCGCCCTAGATCAAAATCAAAGCAAAGGAGTACATAAAATAGTTTGCAATGGGATCACAGACGTTAGAGATCTTGCGGCAAGGAGTATGGGCTTCATTGACAGGCGGCTGGTTCTTCGACCCACATCAAGAGATATTCACGAACACTTTTCATTTCTATTTATGGATTCTTCTACTTTGCCTACCGTTTTCCCTATACCTGGTAAGACGTGTAATTTCTGTTTCTTTTTACGTACACTGCTTGGTGATTTCCATAAAAGCCTAAGAAACAAATAATGTACAACATATATAAACCTTATAGCTTAGTTCAATTTTTGTACGTTTATACCAATGACGATTTTATGAAATGATTTCGTTTTTTTCCAGGGAACGGCGCCATCAAGCTTGGTTTGGATACTGTACTGCATTGTCATTGCAATCATTTTCTTGGTGATAAAATGTCTCAATTACAGACTGCACCTGATGTTCGACGGTGAAGAAATCCGAACAGAAANTTTGTGAGAACAAGAAATGGGAACACATGTCAAGCTGCATTCAAGGTTTTCTCACAGTTTGTTCAAGTTCTGCCTAACTTTTGCAAGTGTTTCTGTATTTAGAAACACCAAGAAAGTGTTTTCTATTTCTTTCAGAAAAAGCTGTGAGAAAATGGAAAGGGAGTGGGCCATTTATTTTGATCATTAAAATGTAAATTATGAGCCATCCTGGCTCACAGCTTTGTCAACTAAATGTTAGGATTTCACAGGATTTTGCATGACAATATGTATGTTATGAAAAATGATTGACTAAAAGATGAAATCAGCATGTGGTGAACATTGGACAAAGAACAATCTGAATTCCTGACAGGATTCAAACATAGATGACCTCCCAGAAACTGGTCGTGCCATCTAACCACTAAGCCACTGGGATACTCATGGTGAACTGTCCTGCATATTGCTAGGATCAGAAGTGCTGAAAGCATCATGACATGGTGAACTTTTAAGTTTAGTGAACAAATCAAATGTGAAAGATTAAATGTTTGGCACTTCACAAGTGTGGAACAAAAAAAAATTGAGTCCCAGAGGGCATTTGAACTGATGACCAACCAGATATTAGTCAGGTGCTTTAACTTCTTTGCACAGAGTGACTCATGGTCATGACATTATTGCATTACTCAATTTGTTTGACAGGGAAGCGAAGATCAAGAATTACATAAAGTGGAGTGTTTTGGTATGTAAGACTTGGTTGTCATTCTTTTCATCCCTGTTGACACATAAGGATGCAACTTACTATTCTACACCATCTGCTCTAGTATTTTGTTGCTTCAATTGCGAGCTTTGTTCCATGTAAGACACATCTTTTTCAGCTGAGTTTCCACGGTTGTCTGTCATGTTGTTTTTGGCTTGCCAACTTCTCTCTCTCCTGGTGGTGTCCATCTTGCTCCAGGAGAATATTAAAACCTCTACTAATACATGACTGAGCAGTGTGACTACTCTTTATCTTGCAATTGTTGAGATTTCTTTGATAATTAGACTAAGTTCATGTCATTTTACTCTGAACCCTGGAGTGAATTTTAATAGATAAAGAACCAGTGTATTTCATAAAAATTAAACTGTCTGAAATAATTAAAAATAAGCTGTGACAACAAAATTAACTTAAAGTATAATTATGTAGTTTCTACTTACTGTGTTTGACCTTATTAATTTTTTACATGAAAACTACTACATATGTAGATGATGGTGGTGAAGATGAAGATATGGCTGTTGTGGCTTTTAAGAATGAAAGAATCAAAGAAAAAGAGGCAAGTGAGAGGATTTTCTCTAAATTGGTGCATTTTACCGCATCCGTATTTTATATTAATTTTGGAGTCAGTATTGGTAATCAATTTTTTTAATTTTACCTGTACCTGTAGGTTTATTCCTGACCAGAATATATCTAGTAGACAGAGAAATGGATAATTTTAAGTAGGCATCACTGAACATTTAGAACCTGCCAACCAAAAGAGACAGAAAGAGATCAGCACATGATTTCAGTTTTCATCAGATGCATAGAATTAAGCATTTTGTTTAGTACCAACGTCATCATCTCGGCAAATGTTAGGTTGTAGGACTCCTTGAAGACAGTTTTTCACATACTGAAAAACATGGAAACTGAAAGCAGAAGCTCTTGATCATTCATTTTGCTTTGGATGTTTTATGTTGTGATGTAGACCTGCTCATGCAAAATGTTACACCCTGGAGATGGCGAAATGTGCACCTGCCCTAAACATTTGAACCCATATAGTCATTAAGTTTTTAATGCATGCTCTTATGTGTACCAGCTCGCTTTCAATTTGTGTTTGAAGTGTTCTCAAAGATGACTGTTGACATGGATTACTATTCTCATACCTTACAATGACTTGTTGACTCAACAGATAAGTTTTGCTGATGATTTAGAGAAAGTTGAAAGACTAGAAAACAGTCATAGACAGAGGTAAGCCTATCAATAGTATTGCTATCATGCTTTTGTTGTCAGAGTCAGACAGTATTTAACCAGTTTAAGAATGAAAAATGCTAAACACAAACCAGGCATTCATTTGCCGTGAGCATTTTGGTTTTGAGTCATATATTGAGAGACAAAAACTTAAGAAGAGAATTCACTAGTGTGTTTTTTTTTTCTTATTTAATACAATAGTACAGTACTAGCACTGCGTACAACACTCACAGTAATTACAATACTAACAGTGCTTACAGAATTTACTAGTTAAAGTTGTAGGTGCAAGTAATCACATGGGTTTAAGTCCAGTTTCAACTTAGAAATTTTGCCGTGTCTGAAATATTTAAATGTTCACAGTTATTTGCTGTCTGATGGTGAAATCAAGAATCAAAATGCGCTTGTTAAATAACAATGTTTAGCACTGAGGTGGGAGGAATAAGACTGTTTTTCCATTATCCACTATGCCCTGCACATTGCTAATAAAATCAAGTCTACTGCCAGGCTCGTAGGTAAGTACTTCAGTCTACAGACAAGCAAGTGCATATAAATGAATGGTCCTATTTATTGATTATTAATATATAGCAGATTTAATGTGTTTGAGAATCATCATTTAACACACACAAGAAAAAGCCATCAAAATGACTTTAATGTTGAATTTATTTGTGTTTCTTTTAGCCCAAGTGGGCAGATTGAATCTTGTGAGACTATTCATGAACAAGCCCAGGGTGAGTTACGTCAATTAAACACTTTTCCTTGTTCAGAAATCATAACCAGGCTTTTAGCCCAGTGGGTGTCCAGGTGTCCTGTGGACATCCACTTTTACAAGAAGATTGGTTTATTTCCACATGTTGCTTAATTATAAATTTGTTCATTTGACCAGACCTTGTAGCACACTTAGATGGCCACTTTTGGCTAAAAGCCTGCAGATCTTATAAACTGTAGTATCCCATTAGTCATATGATAAAGCTGCTGTGTTTTTTCTTGCTTCTGTCAATACAGTGATGTCAATGTAACAAAACTAGATTTGTTCATAAAAAAACATCCATGCATACTTGTTAAGAATACAAATAAACCAGGATTTGAAAGGTCTATTTTGTTTATAGATGAGGATTTGCCAGACGACAATTTGGAGGGAGCAGTTGGTGGGGAGACTGATCACCACACAAGTCAGGAACAGACAGATATGGAATCAGATAGTAAAGGTGATCTTTCTTTTAACACCTTATACAAGAGTTCTGTATCATTACGTTGTCAAATGCCAGGTGACGAGAGTAAAGGAGATCGTCAACTTGTGGGTACATGTGTACATGTATACTAGTGTTTCTTCTCGGGAAAATTGCTTAGCAGTGTTGTAAGGTTTTTGCCGTTTTTTATAAAGTTTTGATTTACCATCCTGTGGAGGTTCTGAGAAACAGTACTAAGATTGCTAGACGGTTTGATTGTTTGGTTGCAAAAAGTATGGAATGTTGGCTTACATGTAAAAGACTTAAGGTTTAACAGTAGTTATAATTAGTTGTTTTCTTAAGTACACTAAGAGGCCCCATTAAGGTAAAGTTCAGGCACGTGAAATAGCCTTGAAACACCCACATGGTAATATGGCAATGAACAAAATGACTTGTGCTGAAATTCCAATGGCAATTGAGAACCTTTCAAAATTGCAACATGGTAAGGTGTAAAATTCAGCCAGGAGACTGCATACCCACCCCCAACCCCCCAACAGGGCATCATCTTCAGTATAATCTGTTTTTCACCTATAAAAATTTCACTGCATTGTGACACAAAGCCACTACGTAACCGTAAATCATTGAATTAGTGTGCGGGGGTACTTATTTCAAATTCAGGAGAAGATGGGGGGGTGCTTATTCAAGGGGGGGCTTATTTAATTTTTCCCAAATGGTGACCTGACATTATCATTTTTTAATACATCATCTGCACATTAACAACAACATAAGCTGTTAATCGACATATATAGCTGATCCTCAAGTTTAAATGGCTCCACCATTAGTACTTGAAATTTTTTTCCCGAACTTAATGTGTTGACAAACTGAAACTATACATCCTTTGTTGTCTCATTACTTGTCCAAAAAATGGGCAGAGGGGAAGGGGGTGCTTATTCAAGGTGGGGGGGGGCGCTTGTTTTAAATTTTGGCCAACATAAGGGGCGCTTATTCGAAGGGGGCACTTATTTGAGGGGGGGCGCTAACTTGACGATTTATGGTATATGACATTTCATGTATTCACTTGTACAATACCACTGTTGCAGCAATAATTCCAGAAAGGTCTGAGTATTTGTTGTTAATTATCTGGACTTTAGTCAAGACATGTTGAAAGTCCAAGTTTCCATGTTTTGTATTTGTCTTCTGCAATATTTAGACACCTTGAGTGATCTGTCAACACTTCCTTTACCCATCTTGGACAGCCATATGGAATCACGTTCTGTTCCTGGGCTTGTTGTGTCGGACATTTGGAAGATCGAACAAGCAACTCATGGTCTTCTCTTGCAGACCAAAAGTGAAGGCTCAAATGTGAATGGAACAACCAGTCCAAGGAACATGTATCAGGCTCTTGTCTCAGCCCTAGAAGGCCATGGACCTCCCAGAACACAGACCAGCTCAGGGGACATAAATGGTGGGGCATCATTTGAGTCTAGACTTGGTACTCAGTCAGGAATTGAAAGCAGATCTGGGTCAGAGTACGAGGGAGCAAGTCTTTCTCGGCATGAATCACAAAGTGAGAAATCAGTTGCTCCAAGAATGCGATCAATATCAGACATTGTACGAGAAACCGAAGATGGTGGTGAAGGAGAAGATGATAGACAAGTTGGAGCATCTGGTATTGACACTCCTTCAATCTTGGACACATTGTCTTTGCAAGACTCTGGCAGATTTCATCAATCAACAAGCTCACAACCAGAGTCAATAGATAGTGTAAGTGTTACCACGATGAACAAAGACACGGCTTCCACCGTGGCACAGACAGGGAGTATAGGAGAACCAGATGGATCAGGAAGAGAAAGCTCAGATCTCATACTTGCACGACGATCATCATCTTTAGCTCGCAGAAGGAGAACAAGCTTGCAGAGGAGGAGGAGAAGAGATGAAACAGGGGCTATTCGGCGACGCAGACGTAATGATTCGGGAGCACTGGCTGATGTTCTGCTTCAAGCTGTTGATAATGCAGGAGCCTCTTCGACTCACATGGCATCATCACATGATGATACCTCACCTGGAGCTCTACATTGCTTTCAAGATGAGTTCGGTAGGGAAGGCTTCTCCTTTGCTCATTGTATGGCATGCATCCTACATATATTATAATACCTGCTCTGATAAGCATAGTTACTATTTACTATAAGTATAAATCCACTAGCCTTCTATCACGAATGCCGTTCTCTGATTGGCTACGCTACTCACTATCTATTCTATGATACATAGTGAGTAGCGTAGCAGTGTGTGCTTTTTAACAGAATGACAGCCGCTTCTTTGTCTGTGAAGAGGATTTAGATAAAGTTTTGAACAACTAGTAGATTTATACTAAAACAATTAGATTATTTGCTCTAGATTTCTATGCGTGATAGTTGACTCGGACTGCACCCTCGTCAACTATCACGCGATAGAAATCTTGAGCTCATAATCTAATTCCTTAGTAGTACTTTGTTTATAATGATAAATGATAATGAATAAATGAATGGGTGAACCCGAAATGTGAGAAACTTCAGGAACAACCAGAAGTGAAGGGACTCTCCTTTAGTGGTATATTGATTTTATGACAAGATAAATTTCTTGATTCTGTTTCTGCTGTTTTTTTGTACAAGATAACCTTCATTGATAACTTTAACAAGGCTCAAAAAAACCTTGAAATCTATCTTGCCCCTCAGACAAGTGGCTCTGAAATTTTGCTTGCCCTGGGCAAGTCTTGGTTTACTTTTTTTTAATTAGTTGGCAGATGACTTGCCTGATCCCTTGCCCATTGGGCAAGTGTGACTGAAAACTTACCTGCCCGGCATGAAAATCTACTTGTCCCAGACAATTGGACAGCACTTTCTTCAAGCCTGTTTAAATACCAAAGTTCTAGCCCTGTGCAATGTCTTTTGATGAAATTAAATTATTTTTAATGAGTAATATGCAGTGGTGGGTAAATAGCAAACTGACATCTTCAATGTATCTTGTATTGTAGGTGTGTGGCAGACCTATGTTTTTAATTCAGATTCACCATTCAGTACTGTGATACAGCCAGCAGCTCATTCTCCATTGCGGATCAGGGATTTAGTTGGTAGAGACAACTGGTGTGTTTAATCTAGGCATCACCATTACAATGTGCAGTTCCAGAAAATATCCATACCTCTCCCACGGAAGGGATTTTATCCAAGACCCCCCACCCCTCTGGAAATTCCAATCAAACTTGATACATTCCTTTTCACTTTTTGGTCTCAAAGAACCCCCCACCCCCCAGGAAATTCCAATCCCCTCTGTGTTCACACAGTCTTTACATTATTGTAAATGCACTTGACCCTTTATTATCTTGGTACGACCAGTTTGGTTTGAAGGAAATAACCAAACAGAACCTGGCATGTGTGTGTACATATGTATACAGAATAAGTGTAAAACGAACCGGCAGATTGTTGAAGATAACAAAAGAAAAATTCATGTCGTGGAATCCAATAATTATTTAAATTACATGTTCATGTGTACAGGGGATTGTGTAATGCCAATTTATTAATGTTTGGGAAATATTAACAGAATGTTGCGTTGATGGGATATTAGAAATACCTTTTTTACAATCAGTTTACTTCAGTATAGATAACATTTTCTAGATTAAACTTTTCTAGATGGTCTAGTTCATTTACTGACAAAGGTCAGTATACTTGTAAATACTGACAAAGGCCAGCATCTACTAGTTGTTGTGGTACCATTGATTAATTTTTAGGAATTCATTGCTATTTCTCCTTTGCTATTAAATTGAAGGGAAACAAGCAGTTCTGCATCAACAGTGGTTGTGGACCACACAAATTTGCCTGGAAACCTTAATTCACACTCTTCAAACGTGCGCGTCGGATCGTCCCACTCAAGGTGGCAGGACGCCATCTCGCCATTTGCAAGGCCGACATCTGTCACATCAACAGTGATACCCAGACCTCACTACTTTAAATTTCAGCTCTTTCCAGGAAAATTCATGAAAATTCAATTTGATCGACTCGTTCTTTTAGCCCTAATGGACAGGTATGGAGTTTTTTGTGGTTTTGATACAATCATTTCTTTTCTTGTGACAGTTTTGGGAATTAGTGTACAATCAGCTGTTTGCATTGTCTTCACCGGAGGCTATGACCCTCTTGGACTGCACCAAGTCTCTTGACCCCTACAGGCCAGGCTTTCAGTGTGACCATTCAAATTCAAGCTATCTACATGTACATGTAGCTATACTTTCATTTAGTATTGTTTTTTTTTATCAAATCCATGCAAGTTGATTCTCACAGTGAAATGGAAAATGTTTTCAAATGTTGTTGAATGAAGATTTGTGCATTATTATTATTATTATTTAGCCAGGATTTGAAAAGGGAGCTTCCAAAATGCACTAAGGGTTTGCTCAAACCAACCATTTATAAAGCCGGAACTGAAACAATAATTTTCTTTCAAAAGTGAGCATCCACAGGATGCCTGGACACCCATCTGGTTAAAAACCCACTTCTGACCAAACTCAGTAAATTTGTGGGCTTTAAAAAGGGCTCCAGCCATGAGTTTGGGATTCAAATCACATGATCTATGTTCATGCCCTGGCCAGCATCCTTGTGTTGTTTTTTTCATGTTCTGGTAGTGCCTATCTCCAACCAGAAGTAAAAATGTGTGCTGGTGAATTATTAGGACTATTTGGCAAACTGTTAAGGGTTACCTGTGATGGACAAGCAGAGCAATATAGAAATACCCCTAACAACTACATGTACTACCTAACATGTTGTGTGAATGAAACACTAGTGTGTGTGACCATTCAAATTCAAGCTATCTACATGTATCTATATTTTCATGTAGTATTGTTTTTTATCAATTAATTCCATGTAAGTTGATTCTCACAGTGAAATGGAAAATGTTTTTAAATGTTGTAGAATAAAGAATTTTGCATTTAATTTATAGGAACAAGTACAAAATTGAAGCTGTGGTTTCTGTGTTGCTGGCTGTTCTGGTAGCTGTCCTGGGCTATTGGCTTCTGCTGGCAGAATTCTTTAAAGACTTCTGGATATTTGTCTTCTGTTTTGTGCTGGCTGGTTGCCAATTTTCCCTCATTAAGGTTAGCAAATTTTGTCTTGATACTTTAAAGATAAATAATGCCCTCTCAACTACATGTGCAAATCAGCAAGTATAAGGTATCGATATCTGAAAGCTATTATAATTAAGGCTTATTAAAAGCTACAAAATTATATCATCCAGTGGATGATCTCTATTCATTAGGTAAAAATCTCCACATTGTGCAGCAATAAAGGAGAGGTCATTTATAGGATGTTTTCACACTTTGATGCAATTGTGTAAAAACAGCTTATATGCAGATTCAAGTGCAAAACGTGATGCAGTATAGGAAATTACAATTCACTGACTCTAGAAGGAAATGGATAGTGTGTCTAGAAGCAAGATGGGAGGTGATGTGCCCGACTGAGAGAGTTGTTTGACATAAGGATATTTCCAATAGGAAAAGGTGACCTCATTGTTCCAGCTGCCATTTTCCGTTTTCCATCATCTCACACTCCCTCCTTCCCCCAATACTTATTGACCAGTCCTTTTTCACATCATGTAATATAAACTGTAAAGGAATTCACTTTGTTGTACTTATTTATACCGTGCTTATCCAACTCAAAGGAAGGAAATCATTTTGCATATCTGGTTCTAGTTTATTTTCAAATGAATTGTAGGGAAATATAACCATTCATTACACTTCCAAACAATATTTCTGGGTCATTTGATTTTGGATTGAATTGAGAGTGTCCTTGAAAATGTTATGTTATTTTCATAGTACTGGTTTCCTTTGCAGAGTGTTCAGCCTGATGCTGCCTCTCCAACTCATGTAAGTGTCAGCTCTGCAATCGTAAACAGCAATTGTCAGGGGAAATGTTTTGTTTTGTCTTTCTGGGTTTTTCAGGATTTAACACCAAGTCCTGAAAGAAACACTGAGATTAAAAATACCTAGTAGGGCTACCAAATAATAATAAAAAAACTTCACTGGTTTTGGAGATCAAGCTCATATGTTCACTGAATCAAGTTGAGGTAAGGGGTGCTTACCATTTACAAAAACCATCCGGTTGGAAATTTCAGGCATAAACATTAAACAATTAAATTGAACATTGCGGGAGAGGGAATCGCTATAAGGTATATCCACATCAGCTAGAGAGACTTATAAGAGCAGAAAAATAGCATCGACCCAAATCACAGTCCATATTTTCTGAAGCTTCCCACACAGAATGGCGAGAACCATTTGATTTTCCAACTGGAATTTCCGGTTTTCCCATGTAAATGGTAAGTACCCAAGATTAAAGCTTGCATTAGCCAGATATTATCATGTACCAGATACAGTGTGACCCTGCTATTTCAAACTCTCAGGGAAAACAAAAAGTAGTTTGAAATAGCGGCAGTTCGAAGTAACTGATATGAAATGACTGTAAGACAAATCCAAGGAAAAGGGTTTTGATTTTTGAAATAATGGGAATTTTAAGTAACCGAGTGTGAATTAATAGGTCAAACTGTATTACTACAGTCTACATTGGAGGAATTTCAGCAGCATGTAAGATCCAGGCTTGAGGTTGTGCTGGAAAGAAAATCATTTTGTGCAAGGACATAGCATACAAACCCAGGATTCAAACCTGGTGCAACTTAGATCAACACATCATGATTAAAAAATCCACTCACTCGGTAAATAAATGGACAATTTTTTTTCCTTCCCTTTAGGGACACAATCACATGATTGTGTTCAGCCGGCCCACATACTTCTGTGTTTTGGCGATATGTATCCTGGTGCTGGATAAATGTGTTCAATCAGATGTCGTCACTTTCACTATTTACGGCATCCCCTTTGCTACCAACTCCTCACTGACATATACTAGAGACTTTCTTATTGGTAGGTATCACCTCCAGCTGCTAGGTTGAAGGGACATGACCTTGCTATTGTACTGTTTTCAGTATCTTGGTACAAACATGTAATAATTATGCAGAATAAATAAACCTATTATAAGATCAAGTGGTCTTAGGTAAATCCGAGCATTCTGATTGATTATTTTTTGGTTGTTGTTTTGCCATATGGACTGTTTTCGTGGAAATGGTCATAAGCCCTGTAGTTCTTGTTTTCTGTTACGTAATAACCTACTTACTAACCTACATGTAGCAGGCTTGAACCTTACTGGGGAATATTTGCCCTTGGTTGTTTTTGTATGGACCTTGCTCTGCTCAGTCTGTACTGCCATGACCTCAGGCCAATATTCCCCAGTACAGCCCTCATGCTCAGTTTGTAAGGAGTTAACACTGGTACTGTACTGTATGCATTGATTAATAAGTTATCTTGACCAAAATACTTCAAGACTTGAAAAGATAAAACGCTAAGTGAAACATTAAATTACGTAATCAGATATCTTCCGTCTAACCATCTTTTGAAGTTTCAAATCTTTATTTTCTTCATACATGTACATTTACCATGCTAACAATGTCTGATAGGATAAATGACATGGCAAATAAAAATTGAAAAATAATTAGAATTTTTAATGAACCTGCGCCATTAGTCATAGATCATTGCACTCGACAGAGCTGTGATGCAGTGAACAAAAACAAACAGTCAACCTTGTGTTTGGTTTATTTCTTGCAGGGTTTATACTTGGTTTCCCTTTGATCTTTCTTGTTGGTCTGTTACCTCAAGTCAACACATTTCTCATGTACATACTCGAGCAACTGGACATGCATGTTTTTGGAGGAACTGGTAAAGATAATGATCTATGTAAATAATTGATGTGTGGTTATAGAGCGTAGTTCATTTCGAGCAGTTTCCGTGTTATTTTCCGTGTTATTTGTCATACAGTTAATCTGGTACGAGGATCCTAGTGGGGGTAGGGGGGGAGGGGCTAATCTAGAAAGTTTTATATGGGGAGGCTCCGCCCCAAGGTTCAACCCCTTACCCTTTTGTATACCATTTTGGCAGAAACTACCCTTTCTGTATGCCCTTTTATTGAAAAGGTACCTCTTTCTCACATACCTACTTATGAACACTGCATCCCTTTTCTAAACCCTTGGAATGAAGCTAGGAACAATATGCTAATGAGCCGAAACGTAAGCAATGGCGTCAGCAAAAATAGCCCTTGTAGGTAGTTGGTAATTATTATTTTCGCATGATTTTGTTTTGCAGCTATTACAAGTCTTAAGGGAGCACTATGGAGCTTGCTTCGTAATCTGTTAGCAGTCAGTTTTCTTTATGGATTCTGCTATGGGGCGATGTTGTTGGTAAGACAAATTACAATAAAGGCAGCTAGATTTCATTTCATATTATTTAAGGTGTCTCCATAGGGTAATCATTTACGGCGTTGCGCGCGCAAGTTTTATGTTTTGAATGCTGTTTTTGCATTCGCTTTCACGCCTAGTCCTCTCAAACTTATTACATATAATAAGCAATGATTAAATAGTATTTTGCTATCATCTCCGTTAAAATTTTGGGATTTAGTCTTGAATTATAAATGCCCAAACAAATGTGTTTTTTTTATTGTTTTTATGGCTTTATTTGTGATTTTCAAGAATTTCCTTGGGTGAAATCTTCCAAAATTTTTACATCACATCGCTTCCAGTAGGATACGAATTTTAAACACGAAAAAAGTCGGGTTTGTAAAGGCAGTTTTTTTTTGATATTTTCAAATTTATGTCTCTTACCGTTGCAAAAAATCTGGTCTTATAGATTTCCCTGAAAAACGAGCTTCGACTAAAATAACATATTTACTACCAATCTGCCAAATTTAACGGAATTTCACCGAAGGAAACGCGAGAAAATTCACTGTCAGTTTTGCTTCTTGTGCTCTTGTTGACGTAATAAAATATCGAAAAACACTGACGTTTCCCTTCGAGCGCGTGCAGATTACTCCCTCAGCGCTCGTACGATCGTAAAACTATAGGGAGCCACCGAAAGAGTCACTGCATTTTGAGTTATTTTAGCCACGTACAAAGTTACCTTCAAATTAAAGGAAACCTGAAAATAGTAATTTATTAAGATAGAAAAACACCAAAGAGATAATAATAAACGATAAAGAAACAAGGATGGTTAAGGATGGAGAAGATTAACACAGATTACAAACGTCGAACTTGATAAATTTAGGCTTAACTTTTCAAGATGCGCAAACCGTGACGTAGCACCTTTAAGTGAAGAATAGAGCGTCTTCGTGGCGTTCATGTTGGTTATCTCCCAAGCAATAGAAAATTTATTCATACTAAAAAAACTCATTTCTCAAAGTTCAGAAATTTCGTTTTTTTGGGAACTCCTATATGGCTGCCGGAAGACATGTGAGAATGCTCTGATGCTGAATGTAGTAAGAGCGGTGTTTGCATGCCTTTGACTGTAAGATATCATTGTAAATTTAGTAAAGAATAAGTTTTATTGTTTTTTTTCTTTGTAGCATGGTGCACAAGGCGGACAACATGTGTTATTTTCTGTGTTCAGTGGCTTGCTTGTTGCCATTTCTTATCATCTCAGCCGCAGTGCTAGTGACCCAACAGTTTTAGGGTGAGAATAATATATATAGGTAAATAATAAATTAATAAAATGATAAGGAATTTGCAGTGGCACAACCCACAGAGAGGCTCTTCGTCCACTGCTTCCACATCGAAATGGAATTTAGGAGTGTCTTGTGGATTAGGGAAACCAGGAGATTTCCGACGGAGGAAAACCCTCGGAGCAAGGGGAGAACCAACAACAAACGCAACCCACTTATGACGGCGGGTCCAGGATTTTGATGCTGAGACTTTTAGCTTAGTACAATCAAATGTCCTGTAAACACAATCACTCGTGGGACTGGAAAGAATGTCCCCCTAGGAAAGCTGGTTGCTTATGAGAAGTTCCAAATGTAGTGTTTGAATAAACTAATATGTGGATAAATCGACGTTAAATTGTAAGTAAAGGTTATCGTGTGAATGCGACTGCAATTAAGCATTTGCACTACGAGTGATATCTGAAAATGCTCTCAAAATTGCACGAGCCTTTAGGCGAATTCAATTTTGTACAATTTATACATGGTACATATTTTAATTGTATATACATTTTTATTATTATTCCTTATTTGTAAATAATTTTAATTTTTTTTGTTGTGTCCCCAATTAGTTGTGAAAACTAAATACATTGACACATTAATAAAGCTTTTACTTACTTTACTTAATTGAAAGAATTTTCAAATATCGCGAGTAGTCTTAATCCTTAATTGCTCGAGCTTTCATACGATTACTCGTTATATCACTGACAAAACTACGAACGAACAAAATTAACGATAATCTGGCCTGCTCTCAGCCAATCACTATGGTGTAATTTTGTCAGTCATGTAATAACTATGCATATTTGTTGGTTTGTAGGTCAGTGTTCAAAAAAGCCTTTGGCAAGGAAGCTGTTGATGACAATGATGAAGAATTCGTGGACCCGCTGCCTGAGAAACTCAGAGCGACTGTGGTTGGTTGACAATATCAAACTTTTGTTTGTAGTTAGTTTTAATCACCACTTTTGTCAAGATGATTTTGGCAGTTTGGAAGAAATCCATGTCGTTGTACTATTTATCTTCTTACTTTCACAGGCCAAGCGTTTGCAGAATGATGTTGTGTGCTGTATATTTATCGTGGTGTTTGTTTTCGCTATTCACTTGAGCACAGTGTTTACAGCTCTTCAGGTAAGAAGCTAGTTTATACTGCCGAGAATTCTGGATATGCTATGCTATGTAACTATTCGAAAAAAAACAGTTAAGGATCAGCTCGTCCACGGAAATCAAACGAGGAGATTTTGAAATTGGGGTTAGAAGTTCGTAATAAAAAAGACAGGTTTCTCCGCGTCCATGTTCAGTGTAAAGTTTAGTATGTGTGACCATCCACAGTTTTAGATGAAGACTTACTCTCAAAAATTTGTACATTTGTTTTTGTTAGGAGAAAAAGGACGGAAAGAAGGAGGGAAACCAATAAAATACTCCCAGTATTCCTAATAAAACGTTCTGCAAACTCACACTCAAGTGAATTTTGATATTAATATTGGATGGGTTTTTGACGGAAAGCCGAAAGTTGGTCAAAAATAAAATGTTTGTCATATAAGGAAGGACGAGTTTTAACTGATAGCTGAGGTTTAATATCTCCAGAATCTGCTGATAGCTGAAAATGGGGTGAGATTTTGACTGATAGCCGAGATCCCAGCACTCCCGTCCAGACCCTTTTTTCGGTTGCATTGTTGACCCACTTGTGTAAGGAAATCTTCCCTTTTTTTTTTTGTTTTTTTTTTTTCTAGCCCTATGTCAGTTATGTCCTGTACGCTGTGGCTGGATTACTGGGTATCATAAATCATTATCTATGGCCTCAGCTTCACAAGCCACTCCCCTGGCTGTGTTTTGCCAGACCCTTCCTACGGAGTCGCGAGTTCAACCAGTATGAAGTGAAAGGTAAAGTGTTAAAATTGAATTGGGTAGGTCAAAAATCATTTCAGCCGGAAGACAAGAAATGTTGTCTAAAACTGTGAAATATAAGACTATGAACTCAAAGTAAAATTTAGAAAGTGAAAATGCAACATGCAACATGAAAATGTTTACAAATTCCAAACAAAACTTGGAAACTTGTGTTTTTATGGCTATTATGATGGGCAAAGAACTCACAGGTATGTCACGTACAAAAGTTTCGTGTCATGTACGCGTGTAGAGAAAAGACGCGAATCATAGACGTGTACAGTAGAGACAGTGCGAAGTGAATTAATCATTGCGAACACATTTGCGTTCATCATTTGTCAGTTCACGAATGTAGAGCTGTTTTCCAATGTATTGACTAACGAACTGATTTTTTTTTTTTTCACTCCAGCTGCAGCTAAGATTATGGCGTATGAATGGCTTCACGTGTGGTTGAACTTCATAGAAAGGAATATCATTTATCCAGCAGTGTTCTTGAGTGCCTTAACATCAAATGCTAGTACACTTGTCTTGAAGTTTGGCCCATAGTAAGTACATGACACTGTACAAACACCCTTACTATAAGATTGAACCAAGTGGCCCATCAGATCGGAGCTTGTCCCGTGCAGCGCCGGTACCCATTTGTACACCTGGGGGGAGAAAGGCACTGTGAGAGTTAAGTGTCTTGCCCAAGAACACAACACATGGTTAGTGCGCTTGATCTAGAGACGAGCGCACTAACCATGAGTCCACCGCACCTTCACACCCGCATGATAGTCAGAAAAAATAACTGGAATCGTATTCGAGTATTTATCAAGAAAGTTATATTTTTCATGTTTTTCCTTTCGGTGCAATTTTCGTCGTATGCGACGTCTGTTCGCGTCAGGAAAAAATTGCAAATGACTTTTACCATATAACAGGCTCTAAAGCTACGATTGTCCCAGATTTCGTATTTTAAATTGCTACGTCATTTTTGGTGTCATACACCACAGTTGCCAGCAAGTGGTAGGTTTGATTCACACAAAGAAGGCTAAGATTTGACCAAGACTAGACTAGAGACAGGTTCAGACACTCCATTTATTTCGTTTTGGAGAGTGGATAAAGCCTGTAAATGTTTAGTTTTGATATTTTCGTTTTAGACCGTTATTTTTACACACGATGTTTCTGTTTTGTTCAGTTTGGTTTGACTTAATTTGGCTTCATTGGTGTAGCTTTGTTTAGTTTAGTTTAAAGTTAAGTTCAGTTCAGTTTGTAGTTCATGTCAGTTTAGTTTAGTTTAGTTTAGTCTAGTCTAGTTTTAGTTAAGTTTAGTTTCGTTTCGTTTCGTTCAAAGTTAAGTTTACTTCAGTCGAGGGAAGATCAATAGTGTTGTTTGCAGTTTATTTTAGTGTACCTAAGTTCATAAACTTAAGCTTTGTTTTCTAATTCGTCCTCAAGAGTTCGATTTACCAAACGATAATAGACCCTTTGCACGATCCGGTCACATGGTACGGAATTAATTATGCTGGGACGCAAGTTACGCAGTGGGACTTCCAAAACAAAGGAACTCATACCAGTCCAGCCCGACTTTCCTTTGTTTGGGAAGTCCCACTGCGTAACTTGCGTCCCAGCGTAATTAATTCCGTACCATGTGACCGGATCCTGCAAAGGGCCAATTCTCTCGTTGTTTCACAGTGGTGGTCCAGCGGTTATCTGTATTGCGGGTTTGAAGCTGTTACGCTCCTCGTTCTCAGACTCCTCTCGGCAACACCTAGTACTGCTATGGACGGTTCTGTTCTTTCACTTTGATTACAGCCATAGCTCGGAGACGTTTGTTGTGGACTATTTTATCATGTCAATACTAATGAACAAGGTGAGTGAGAATGACAGGACTCGGTGGGAAACTCTTATGTGTAATTCACACCTTGTATGCGCGAGTACTTTCCTAAACAATGGCCAAAATGATCAGGGCAACCTACGCGAAATAATAGATGAAGAACTCAAACGATGCCCCTAGCCCTAAGAATAAAAGAAGCGCAGATTAACAAGAACGAATCGAAAAAGAGGTTATTAAAAAGCTGCAGATCAAGCGAAATGAATGGTCGAGCACTTAAGGGAAGACTCGGCACTAGTAGTTTAACGACGTCTTTCTCAACTTTCAGGAATTAGAAATTAGCTATTACAAACATTCATGCCTGTAAGGAGGATTTTGAAATAGGCAGTTATTACATTTTTCTCTTACTCCTGAGCAATTACTGATCTCTTTTTCTTTCATTTCTCTTACAGTTGTATGAACTCATCCTGAAGGTCCGCTTCGTGGTGACGTATATAGCGCCTTGGCAAATCACGTGGGGCTCTGCTTTCCATGCCTTCGCTCAGCCCTTTAGTGCTCCTCGTATCCTTTAGTTTAATATTTCCTTCCGTATGTCCTGTTTGTCGATGAAGCGTTGTAACATCTGTCGCTCACTGTTCATTATAACATATGAATTTTTTATTATTATTTATAATTCATATTACTAACAATAAAGCATTGTTTCACGCCAAGCGTGCTCCTATCGAGTTCTGGATGCAATAACGACTTTAGAAAGCACGAGAGAAGTTGTAGTTACTCTTGGTTGTGTAACTCTTGTGCGGTTAAACTCCCGCGTCCTTCATAACTCAATTGGCGTACTCTAAGCATGAATTAGCTCGCTGAACTATAAATTAGTCCATTAGTAGAAGCTATTAGAGCGGTTTGCAATGGCCCATTTTCGAGTTGCCCTAAGCCTCGCTATCAAAACGAGGCCTGCTGCACAACCATTGATGAAAATGAGTTTAATTTGCTTCTGAATGAAGTCTCGTTTTCATATGAAAGGATGAGCATTTCTGAGACTCGGTTAAAGGTAATTCAGATATGGACTATTGAGTGTCGTAAAATCAAAACCAAACCAATTACTTACCAATTATACTACTAAGCCAATCTCAAACTGAAGTAAACCAGAAACCAAAGTAATTGCCTGATTACTTAAGACAGTCAATTGAAAATCGCTCTAAGCTCCTAATCGCTCTAATCGCTCTATCTCTGAACAATTTTGTCATCAGTTTGGTAGCATTTTAGTATTTTTGATATTATCAGCTCTGCTGCTTTATGATACTCTTGTTCATTCATTAACTTTAAACTTCCTTGTTCCCTCTTCTTTTACTCCTACTTCTTTACTTTGCTCTCGTTATGACACTTCCTTAACTAGTCATCTCCAGACTCCGCCATGCTGTTTTTCCAAGCAGTGGTGTCTTCTGTGCTATCAGCGCCATTAAACCCTTTCCTGGGAAGTGCCATATTTATTACGTCATACGTACGACCGGTTAAATTCTGGGAGAAGGACTACAAGTGAGCATCCTGAAAAATACCCTTCCCGAATTTGGAAATAAATCTTCCCATTCCCCGAATAGAAAACCGCATGAAACTTACGTGCTGTTCGTGTGAAGTAAAGAATGTGTACGTGTTAGCTTACAGTCACAGAAGTCACAGTCATAGAAGAGGATAATGGTATAAGACGTTAACGCTTTGGCTACAAAGAGAATGAAAATAGGAAGCTTAGTGCTTTTATTAAGAGCCATGGTCAGCCGTTTCGACTTGGTTAGGCCTTGTCTGCATCACTGAATTTACACAAAGTTTATCCTTTTGACTCATGTAAAGTGGGCGTTTACACACCTTTCCTAAAGAAAAAAGAATTGAAAAAAAAAAAAAACATTAACATCTTAAACATCATCATCATTAAAATCATTAATGTCAGAATGTAACATGGGGTGGTGCAATGAAGCCATTGGCCTCAGTGTCTCCTACACCACCTCATACATAATTAGTAGCAGACGTGGAGAAACCAAAGGCCCCCCTCCACCCTTCCCCCACGGGTCTTGCCATAAATTTATGGGCTGGGTGAGTGAGGTTAGGTCGTGAATTGACAGAAAATGTCTATCATGGCATCTCTACAAACTAACTTCCGATCCCAACCCCGCACGGTAACGTTTACTTGAAGTTGAACATATGGGAAATGCGCGATACAAATGCATTATCAACACGCTTTAAAGAATATTGTTTGTATTTCTAAAAGGTTTACGCAAGAAGGTTTCGATGAGGCCAAGTTACAACTGACCAGTGTCAAACCAGCAATACAATAGATACATGTATTTACAACATACAACAATGATACTAAAATGACAGAAGCAATGTTAGTAAAAGCTCAATCTCAAACTAAGTTGAGATTTGTTCCACCTTTCTTTCTAGCACGAGTCGTGTGGATCACTCAAACACTCGTCTATCCTCCCAGCTCGACAGAAATCCTGGTACGTCTGTGGTTCTTTCACAGGTTCTTTTAAAAGTCTCTATTGTCTATAACTCAGTTATGACGTAAGTGCCTTGACTTGCCTAAGGAATTCAGTTCAGGTTCTTCGTTCTTTACACATCTCTATTGTAACTCGTTTGTCATAGGTTATCAGTATCATTTTGGTGCTTTCCAACTCTGTATTATTGACAAAAATTTGAACATGCTTCCGTAAGGTTTGTGAAAATACATCTTTCTTCATTTGAACCAGGTTCTGATGACAACAATCTCAACTCGATATTTTACGAACACCTGACAAGGTCCCTTCAGCACAGCCTGTGTGGTGACCTCATGATGGGCCGTTGGGGGCCCTTTTCGACAGGGGACTGTTTCGTGTTGGCTTCAGACTATTTGAACGCATTGGTTCATATCATAGAAGTTGGTAATGGCCTGGTCACTTTTCAGGTCCGAGGACTGGAGTTTAGGGGTAAGAGAGCTGAAGAACTATCTAGATTTAGAGTTGTTTTAATTTTTGAAGTACAATTCAACGTATCGTGAACTTCTGTTAGAGCCTAATAGAGCCTTTACAAATTCATGCGGAGTCTTGGAAATACAACTTGAAAAGCCCAAGTAATTCAATTGTTAAATATGGTATCCGTGAGAAATGGCCTTAGACGTAACATAGCTACTTAGCAATTACACTTTACCTATCCATGCAACGAACGCATGCTTACAATGCCGAACACAGTGTAGTTTTGCTGTCAAAGTTTTAAGTCTTTGCTTCCTGCATACCTTACCTCCCTCCCTCTCCACTTAGCGCTTATTGACTTAATTTTGAAGGTTAATAGCATTATGTCATTTGTAACTTTATTCTTTCACTAGGCACGTACTGTCAACAGCGTGAAGTTGAAGCCATCACCGAGGGAGTCGAAGATGACGATGGTAAGTTTTTCTTCGTTTTTATCTGGTGATGGGTAGAGGTAATCGTATGAATTTCGAGTGAAATTAAGGATGCAATGCGTTTAAAAAAAGATACAGGCTTACTGTATGCTTTGTATTTATTGGTCGCTACTTGGAAAGCCACTCAAAGGCTGCTATAGAATTTACAGATGTGTAGAATCTCCAATGGGGACTATATTATTTGATCTGCAAACGAGCGTTTTAGACATGTTAACTTACAGACATCACGTTGCGAATTCTTTTCCCATGTGCCCAGTACCTTGTGCTATGCTTGTCCCATTTTCAAAATGGCTTATTTCCCTTCAAAAAGGTCTTTGATATGGGATTTCACTACTAATACTACAACTATAATTCAAATTTCTAAGGTATTTTCCCCACTCCTAACGTCGCTTGTCTCTTGTAATCCTTGTTCCTGTTATATCCAGGTTGTTTTTGCTGTGAGCCAGGCCATCTTCCCAACATGTTATCATTGAACGCTGCGTGCGGTCAGCGGTGGTTAGCATGGGAAGTAAGTGCGACCAAGTACATCATCGAAGGTTACAGCATCAGTGATAACTCGGCGGCTTCCATGTTACAAGTGTTTGACCTGCGCAAGATTTTAGTTACTTACTATGTGAAGGTGAGGTGTAGAATCGAACTCTCGGGCGGAGCCAGTGAATTTTACAGAACGCGTCAGCGTTTAATTCATAAAAACAGACTGCATTTTTTTTTCCATAATATAGAATGTTGTTTCACTTGTGTTGATGTTCGAAATTTGTCAGGATGATGGACTTTTTGTTCTTTTTTGTGTTATTTCCTTCTGTTGACATTTTAACTCCAAAGAAGTTACTGTTATTAAGAGATTTCCTTCAAACGGACCAACTATACGTCAAACTACGTGAAATGCCGTCACGCTCTCTGACCATCTAGTCTTGCTTTACCCTGTTGCTTTCGTGGCACTTTATACACCGCAATGCAGCTCAGCACTAAAATGGAGTGATGTGGCGCAATCTATCATTTGGTTACCCATTTTAGGTACATTGCCCAATTTTTTTTTAGATACGTGTAGTTGTGAGAGCAGTTTGAATGAATGAATTGCTTAAATTAGTGTGTCCTACCCAGACCAGTCTGTGTCCAGCAGATTGTATTACATAGTTTAAGTTTGTAACCAAGCTCCTTAAGCATCAGTTTCTATGCGAATCTCTTGAAGACCATGTAGGTAACATGTGAAGGTGAATTAATCAACATGACACGAGCGTGGGACAAAGAAAAATTCTGAGTCCCCGGCAGGAATCGAACCCATGACCTCCCGAACATCGGGCGGGCGCTCGCTCTATCCACTGAGCTACGAGAACTCATGGAGAGCAAGGTCATTTAACTGAGTTCATATATGATAGGTGTCCTGCATACTGCTAGGATCAACGCTNTTTTCTTTGTCCCACGCTCGTGTCATGTTGATTAATTCACCTTCACATTTCATTACCGAGCTTAAAATTCACCATCTTTATTAACTTATCATGTAGGTAACATTTCACCTCACATTTAGCAATAACCCCCTGGGGGTTAAGGGCAGTTTGCCACATTGCCTCAAAACTGTGTGACGATCAAGTTGAATTTCGTGCTCTACCCCGTTAAGAGAATCGCCTTTTTTATCAAGACCTTGTGTCTTTTAAGACCAGTGTGTAATTGAGAGAATCACAGGGTACATCATTCAGATCCAATACAGCAAGTAAGGAGCGTGAGCGAACCTAATTGCGGTGTAAGTTGAGTTAGCGTGACGTAGATGTATTAATTTTTCTTTCTTTCCCATTGCAGTCTGTTATTTTTTACGCGGTGCAGTCACCCAAGCTGGATCAGTGGTTACGTAGTGACGGGTTACGAGAGCAGCTGACGTCAGTACACGATCCGCAGTACGTGGATATCGATCGCACGTTTTATCACAATATTGACGAGGATTATGATCTCCGGCATGGTGGCATCTCCAAAACTAGTTACCTGAACTGTTACCTAGCTTGGATTCAGTACTGCGCTTTACGCAAGGACCCGGTAAGTACTGAAGTGCTTGCTGTTCAATTGGAACTGCAATGCAATGGAAGTTACCTCAAAGAATCAAGCTGCCTTTATTGATATATCCTTACATTAGCAAGCTATTTCAGGTCCAGTTGTAGGAATATGAAAGTTACCTCGTTCATCTTGTATTTTGCGTTAGTGTTAAAGGTGCTACGTCACGGTTTGCGCATCTTGAAACGTTTAGCCTACATTTTTCAAGTTCGTCGTTTGTAATGCGTGTCAATCTTCTCCATCCTTAACCATCCTTGTTCCTTTATGGTTTATTATTATCTCTTTGGTGTTTTTCTATCTCAGTAAATTATTATTTCAAGGTAAAGGCAATTTTGCATGTGGCCAAAATACACCTTTTGCTGTTCATTTACAGAAAACAAACATTCAT